AGCCATCCAACCACAACTGCTTCACGGTTGAAACAGAGCCGTGAAGCAGTTGTGGTTCAGACGGGCAGAGGTACCCAAGCAAACGACTTTTGTACAATGTCTCCCTCTGGTGAAGGTTTTCGATGATGTAAATAGAATTGTAGCTTGCATGTGCTATTGTGCTATATGTACTAATATACTATTCTTTTTTAATATCATACATTTATAAAAATTAAAATCTTTTTTTACTTTTTCTTTTATATATTTTTTTTCAATCAAAAATTAAGTTCATAAAACAAATAATCAAAACACTCACATTTTTATTAATAGGTTCAGTTTATTTATTTACTAGCTGTGTCTTGTGGGTTGAGTTAAGGTAAAACCTACCTGTTTACTAAATTTCATTGGAATCCGTTCAGTAGTTTTTGCACTTGACAACGTTTATATATATATATATATATATATATATATATATATATATATATATATATATATATATATATATATATAATTAATTAAATACTAATAATATATTATATATACTAAATAGATCAAGGTAAATCGCACGTAGTAAACATCAAAGTAAATTAGAGAGATAGGTAATGAGATTTATATATATAATATACAAGGTATTTTTTGGTGGTTTTAAAAGCGTATAATTCTGTAAAATTTTCAACACATCTCAACATTAGATTCAATGAACAAACATACTAAAGTGCACATCTCAAATCAATCACAGTTTACACCCAAAAAGTTACCAAGCTTCTACAAATTATGTTAAGTCTTCCCTCGTAAGAACGGTTGCGTTTTAACTCCCCCGTAACCCAGGCTTGTTGATGCCGTTTAATTTAACTTTTACAGTTAAAATATTTTAACCGGTCGCTCTTAATAGCTAATAAAATTGTTAGATTTTAACTCGAATGCTTTTATTGTTGCTTGATTAATTTGAATTTAAACAAATTATTTTAAACAACAATTAAGCAATCCGTAAAAAACAGTAGTCGTTCTATTTTAAAATTAACTAGCAAATCACCCCGGTTTCACATGGGTGAATAGTAAAGTTAATAGCACATATTCGAAAGGTCGGCGATAAAAATCAGGTATTATTTAACTGTGATCACTTGCCATGTGATCCTGGCATAGAATGGGCCACTCCTTCCTTCCCCGTAGGTGTCGTAAGAGGTGACTAACGGAACTTAATGATCGAGGAATGAGCAGCAGCGTCCTTCTTAAAACATCAACAAAACCTAACTGTGGTTGGCAATCCGCCTGCCAAGCGTGGCAACTACTGGCAAAACGAGGGGTTTTGGGGGAAGCCTAAGTTCAACAGTGGACAGTTAATAGCTAGTCATTATCTTCCTACCCTTATCGCAATCATTTGGAGTCGGCGTAATATGATTTTAACCATATTACAAAAAGATTTGTTTTTTTTTTTAGTTTTACGACCGGCCACCTGCCTGACGTCAACCCTCTTTGGGCTAATATAATACAATAAGATAAAAAAGAACAACCTTTTACAGACGATCTTCCAAATATTTCCAAATATTTATTCTTCTAGATTCTATCTATTAGGTTAAATCCAAATTGAGAAAGCAAATTCGATAGATAAATCCACGGGTAATAACTAGTCCTTTATAATTCAAATCAAACAGTACAAATGAAGTGAGAATTGCAAAGCGTCTCATCTAAATCTGAGGTCCTTATTATCATGCAAATTAAATTAAAATTCAGTCGGCGTTCACCTTACGAGTGGCAACACATGCGGGGTGCTATAGGTGACACAGTATATTCCATGATTCCCCTGACGTTATTATGTCGACAAATACCATTACCACTTTATATTAAGTAGGTAAGCTGCCAGTTCGTTTGCAATTATTTGTCAAAAAATATAGAAAAAAAATTATAGTTTAAATCAAGAGAATTATAAAAAAAAATATTAAGTCTACAGATAGAAGTAACGATCTCTTAAGTGACTCAGACAGAATTAGAATGGAAAAGAATAGAATAGAAATGACTGTTGACTTTCTTGCTGTCTCTTCTCAACAGATAACAACTTTTTTAACTCTGCATTAATAAAAAATGACGATTTAAAACTGTTTGTAAACAAGTATATTTAAATAAAAATTATTTGAGCTTGAATATTCTGAATAATTTTGATATCAATATATGACTTCTAAATTATTTCTCGATGCATAAATATTTTTTTTATACAACTTAGAATGAAATATTTGATGGAAAGTATAATTTTGAGTACCAAGGACATGACTGTATGATACCCCCTTGCGTTGCCATTCTAAATTATTTCTGTACCCAGTAAATTCACGCCATATCCCACCCTTATCGAAACACAGCCAGAACACAATCCCGGTAGAAACACGAATGGGACAGAGGAAACAAACGACTTTTGTACAAAGTCTCCCTCTGGTAAATTTAAAAGAAAACAATTGCGATTGCATTGAGATTTTAATGAAAATTCTGTTGTCAAATTAAATTTAAGTTAACACTTAACCACAGTGCAGGGCAAACTAACCGTTACACTAACAAATCTAACGTGACTTCGATAAATGACACGTTAAAGTTTAAACTTTCTCCAGTTAGGAACCTTAACTATTTAGTAACAAAACCGACTCAGGGCTCGCTAACTTTAACGCCATCAAACTTTTCTAGCGTACAGTTCTACAATATGTTTGAACTTATTATAGAAATCGCCATATCCATTTGTGTGTGAACAATGCTATTTTGTAGAATAAAGCAGTGTTGCTAGATGTTATTTTTTTTTTTATTTTTTTGTCTCAATATAAATCTTTTTAATATTATAAATGCAAAAGTGCGTAATAATGTATGGATAGATGAATGTTTGTTACTCTTTCACGCGAAAATTACTTAACGAATTTATATCAAAGTTGGTACAAGGGTAGGTTATATCCTAAGTCAGTACATAGGATACTTTATGTACTAATTTAAGTCAAGACACATTATAAAAATGTTGTATGTTTTCTACGAAATCATTTAAATTTCTTTCACTGTTATCAAATCAAAAATAAAAAATTCTGATAATGATGTACTGCGTTTTTGATTCACTGATCATTCCAAAGGTTGTCTGGTAGAAAATACTACTGGTCCAGGTTTTAGTACTATATTTTCATTTGGTCTAATTTCATTGACCAAATGAAAATAGATAAGTAAATAAACCCTATTCATGTATTACATTTTCTAAAATTTACAGTGACAATGAAAATCTACAATTTTAAATTCGTTATGTATTATAAGTACAGATGTTTGCAAATATAGTTAAAATTGTGTTGCCAAAAAAAAAAAGAGTTCACACTGTCAAAACAAGTCTGTCAAAACACGTCCTAAAAACTAGCTGATCTGGTTTTCTGATTAAAAAAATAAATTTTCAAATCACTTTACAGCTAACGGAGTTGTGAGGTAATAAACAAAAAAAATACAACTGAATTGAGAACTTCCTTTTTGAAGTCGGTTAAAAACTCGTTAATGGCGTTCACTGTAGCAGCAATGAACCAAGTAACATATATGTTAATTTGTGAGTACGCTAAGTGAAATAAGCGACGTGTAACCGAATTAGCGGGGTCACGCGCGGATTACACTCTAACGACTCAACTTGGCACTGTTTTGCTAACTGTAGTATAATAACTTGCCTAACAAGATCTGTTTTGTAACGGTAGCAATAAAGATGTTACTTTGAAAAGTAATATATATAAATAATTTAAATAATTTTAAATTCCACAAAATTAAAAAAAAACTTGTATTTTAATTTAAAAACTAAACTACTGAACGTATTTAAATTTAATTTCTACGTGACTTATCTGTAAATACGGGATATACAGAGGTATAGAAAAAATAATTTTCCAAATAGGTTTGCAGATAACTGATGGAGTTATGAGGTAGCAAATATAAAATAACGCTTTTTTTTAAACTATCAGGTAATACATAGTACCACTATTCTAGTATCAATTAATATATGTATATTGTGTGTGGGTGAAAAGCGGTTAATATGACCTAGTAGTTGAATACAGTTCTGACCTTTAGTTCAATATTGAACGATGATGCTTTTGAAGTCTATAGCGGATGGTATGATTACCAATTTACTTCTACTTATGATATTACTTGTATGCCATTCCTGTGTATCATAAAAATAGGCACCATATTTCATTTAATGTTGCATAGAAAAATAAACAAAAGCCCATCTTCTTTTAAGACAAAACTACTAGAGGTTTTGTAGAAAAGTCACCAGGTGTTCACAAAATTATTTATATTTTACTGTCAAATAATACACATAGTTAAGTACAAATATTATTTTAAAACAGCGTTAAATATGTGATGAAAACTCATTATTGTTTTTTAAGTAGATAAATTACAGTGTCTTTGATTTATAATAATATGAGATTCCATAAAATAAAAGATATTTTTATAATAAGTGATAACGGAATGGTAACCCCACCTGCGTTATCGGTATACGCTGGCTGTGACTATGTGTGGCTACCAGTGAGGGATGATAGGTGACGATGAAAGCAAGTCAGTTAGCCCATAGTGAAGAATTCCACTAGAATTAACCACGGGAGTAGGGTTCGACCTGATAGTGTATATTACTAGCAATGAGTCAGTTAGACCTCATTACTAATAATCCCTTCCCCCCAATAATTAGGTGAGTATATTAAAAATTTATAAACCCCTGATAGAGAAATAGTATTTTTTTTATACAACTTAGAATGGCAAACAAGTTGACGGCCCACCTGATGGAAAGTGGTAACCGTCGCCTATAGACATGATCAAGTACCATGGACATAACAGAGTATATTGTTTCGCCCATGATACCCCCATGCGTTGCCATTCCTGAGGACTCAGGTGTTATTCCTCTGTACCCAGTAAATTCACGCCATATCCCACCCTTCAAACCGAAACACAGTCAGGCGAACACAACTGCTTCACGATTATATTATCCACTGAACTATTATTAGCCATTTAAGTATGATATTAATATTATATATTTGTTACAGGGTCGCGGTTACAGTTCCGACTACCAGCAAGGCACCAGATCGCGTACGAGGGTGAGTATGATCTATTAATAGGATTACGCTCTTGTAGAGGGATTATAGTTGGTTTGAATATCTACAAAGGATCTGCAAACATATACGTAGGTCAGTTTCAACAAATTTTCGATGTGTATGTAGCAAACATTCCCCTTCCTTTTCCGTGGGTGTCGTAAGAGGCGACTTAAGGAATTTAATGGTCATGAGATGAGCAGCAGAGTCTCTCTTTAAAAATCACTAAAACAGTTACCAAGCCACCTTCCAAGCGTGGCAACTACTAGCAAGACTTCCCAATAAAGAGAGGTGTATGTTCAGTCAGCAGTGGACAGTTCAAGGCTGATGATGATGTTTAAGATGTGATATTGTTATGATCTACTACCTTTTTGTCCGTTACTTCATACACATGGAAATTAGAAGTAGAAGTTCCTGTAAAATAAACCACTTATAGATAGGATATTAGTACAGAACATACACCAGATTTTAAGCTAAAATTTCAAGACTGTGGAATCTACATTCAATTTGGTGTAATAGTGTTAACGTAATGCCAGAACAAATGTACAGATAGACAGACAAACAGATAAAATTTCTATTATTGCTTAGCCATCTATTAGTCTTATTAAGGACCCTCCTATGATTTTGTAATAAATTTCTCTAATATACAGACATCGCCTAGATATAATTTTATTATATTAGTCAGATAAGATAAAAAACAGTATAAGTTACTATTTTAAATACGTTAATCAAATAGTGAATTAGTCTTTTTCAAGAGAAGAGTGTAACAGTGTACATTCGAAATTACTACCTACACGGTTGAATAAACATATCTTTTGCAAAATTTTGGACCGAATGAGAGAAATAGAAGGGTGGAAGCTTTATTCTTCAAGAAGGCTGACAACTCTCTATTGAAGAACTATAGACCGATATGCCTTCTGAATCGTGACTATGTATGTACGTACGTACAGCAGTGGAAGGATAATGACTGAAATAATGATGATTATGAGAGAAATAGCATTATAAACTGAGAAACTAAACCAATAATAAAGAAATAAATAAAAAAAAAATCATCACATGGTATCAGTTGTATCTTATTTAGACTGTCATGCTAATTATACGTTATTGAAAAAAACTATTAACTCCCTATTTTATTAAATTATAAGCAAAAATGTCAAAAGAAAATCCAATCGCATCCCGAGTTAAATTTCCATAGAAAAATTAATCTGAATAGAAATTCGAAGCGAATCGTGTTCCTCGCTTGAAACCCTTCCAATGAGGTCCATTAAATTCAAAGCCACGTAATTTACAAATTGATTTAAATTTTGCAAATTTAAATTGAAGCCATAAATTTAGTGGCTGCTAGCTGAAATATTAGTGTTTAATGCAGTTTAATAGCGGTTCCCGTCAGCTCTAACAGAACTGATGCAGCAAGATAGGTAACTTTCAACAGAGTAATAACATAACTTTGTATTGTAAGTTTGAAAGGAGCACGAACATCAAAATCAGCTATTTAAGCGTTTCCACGTTCATAAGCATTTATTACCGCAACCACAAACGCTGCGGGCGTGCGGTCACAGTGCAAACGAGGGGATGGGGTGCTTAATTTGGATTTCATCGTGATTTAGTACTGGCTGTATCCTACTGCTTCACCCGCGTGACTTAGTACATAAAGCATCCTATGTGCTAAGTTAGGATGTAACTTACCCGGGTACCAAATTTCATTCAAATCTTTAAAATAGTTTTTGTGTACAAGAGTAATAAACATCAAATAAAGACAGATTTGAATGAAATATGATACAAGAATAGGTTATACCTTAACTTAGGGTATATCATAAATTGCATGAATACGTATAAGTTTTAAAAATTTGTACACAGAGTATCCTATAGTACATAAAGTATCCTATAGGAAACTTTATGTACTAATTCATATAGGTGAAGCCGTAGAATTTAGATATCATTACATATCAAAAAGAATTATCAAATCGAAACAAATAATTGATATAAGTAAACATATTGAACAATTATAGAAAATGCTTTGAATTTAAGGATACAAAACACACAATTTTCAAACACAATTTTCATTAAAAATAGAATACAGAAAATTAAAAACTTTCATTCAATTTAAATAAGTCTTACGTAAATCAAGTATTTTTCTAAATTGTATTATAAAACTAGTAAAACATTAATGTGGGTAAGTCTAAACTTGTTTATTCAGATATTTCTGTCTACGGTTGATTAGTAGATATCGCCATATGGTTTTAAATCCGCCATTACAACTTTCTATGTGTAAATATAGTGTAATAAATAAATTAATAAAAATATGACAATACCTCTTTTTAAAAATATCATCGAAACCTGTAAAGTTTTTAATTAAATTTTAAAAAGAGGGGAATCGAGAAAAAAGAAAGCAACGGCACGCTAATGGCAAAATAATCACAATGTTTACAGAAAATTTGCCATTTCGCTATTGAAAAATTTTCTGTGTGGGATTTTTTAATAAGCCACCGAATCTGCTCTGGTCTTTCCATATTCCATGCCATTTCAATACTTTCTAATTAAATTCTTTATGTATTCTCAGATAGCAACAGAGGTTCCATCGTTTTTGAATCTCTTTATTAAATGTGGCGTACCATTAATAATCCTAATGGCTTCCACAAATTATGTTCCGTTTGGAATAAGCTAGTAAAATAATTTATTTTTATTTATGTATTACTTACTTTAGCTTTGACCCGCGATTTTGTTTGTGTGACAGATAAAAATAGCTTAGGTCCTCCATCTCATATACGAGGGCTACACTGAAAATTCTTAGAAAGCAATATAATAAAAAAAAAAATTGTTAAAATTGTGAAAATGGAAGTCTTTACGAATAAAACTGAGTATATAATTTATTCATTTGTCATTTGTTTTACGGTTTGGCGGCAAATTGAAAATAGTCTATGTAACGTTATCATGAACTTAACACGAGAAAATTTTCGTGCGATGATTTTTTTATGACTTTCGATGTCATCTAAGTCACCAAGAAAGTTATGATAGACTACGATTGGCCTTTCACGATGAAGCCCCGTCTCGTGCCACTGTTTACAGCTGGTTTAATGAGTTTAAACGAGGTCGTACTAATCTCACCGATGATGTGCGTGAGGAACGGCCTTCTACGGCGACGACTGAAGATAACATCAGTGTTGTGCGGCGTATGATAGAGACTGACAAAAGAGTAACCTATCAGCAGATCCGGGCAAGCTTAGGGATTGGTATGAGTCAAGTGCACAAAATCCTCCATGAACATTTAGCGGTCAGGAAGCTTTGTGCCCGGTGGATACCTCATAATTTATCTATTTTAAGATGGAACAGTTCATTTTACCAGCAGCGAAACAATTCGTTTACGCCGTATTGTGTAAAATTCATCCGTACGCTCTCATGTAAATGTATGTAATTGTGCGTGTGTACTAACATGTAACTTTATATTTCATTTTTTTTTTAAATCCTAAACCCTGATCTTAATTCAAACTCAATATGTCGAATATCAAATATTTTGAGGAATGTTTTTTTTTTTTTAAGTTAAGCTGCTGATTTATTTGGGCTGCCTATATTGTCGCACAATGTTTATGTCACGTACGTCACTCCCACGCCTAACATAGCAACGTTTTGCCTAACAAATTGGCGACGTGCTCGCGTTCTACGACAGCTTGCGACTTAATTGCAGCCCTATGTGAGGATTACAGTGCGTGTTTAACGTGATAGGGACATTTGGTAATATAAATCACTTGGACATTCAATAAGAGGTAATTAAAAGTTCAGCCGATATGATAGCTACTGTGCGTGTTTGGCGTGATGAAAATATTTAATATTGCATATATAATTTAGATATTCATGAGAAGTAATTAAAGTTTTAGCCCGATATTATGACCTATAATTGGTGTTTGATGTAATAAAGACATTTGATAATATACCATTTGGATATTCACAAGTAATAATAAAAGAATCAAACGGATTTGGAAATTATAATCCGTGTTTGCCATGATGAAGATATCTGGTAATAGAGATATCATTTGTACATCCAATAAAAATACCTAAAATTCAGACCGATATAACAGTTACAGTGCTCATTTGACGTGATATAAACATTTGGTAATACATTTAAATTGGACATTCAACAAGACGTATAAAAGATTTAGATCGATATGAGGATTACAGTGCGTGTTTGACGTGATGAGAATATTTGGTAATATATCATTTGGGAATTCAACATAAAGTAATTAAAGATTACGATATAATGAGGATTACAGTGCGTGTTTGACGTGACAAGAATATTCGGTAATATTATCATTTGGACATTAAATAAAAATTAATTAAAAATTTAGGTATAATGAGGATTACAGTGCGTGTTTGACGTGATGGTGATATTTGGTAATATATTTTATTTGGACATACAATAAGAAGTAATTAAATATTTGATTATTTATATATTTATTACTTAATTATGCTTAACCAACTCAACGAATTTAAATGAAACTTAAGGTTAGGCAAGCAAAGTCGCAGGGTAAACCTACAAATAACATAATTGCTTCATTTTTGTACATCGGTTGTCCCAATAAAAGGTATTAGAATCGTTTGTTGAATATTAAGTGTACACTTATTACTAATGACCGTATTTTATTTTGTAAATACGATGACTGCTGCGAGAACAAATCTCTCTATACCTAAGGGTCACTTGTTTGATCTTCGCAAGGACAAATAATAATATGACGCTCCTCAAATATAAGTTGAGAGTCAACACGTAAAATAACGTCTGCTTCAAAAGCCACATTAAGCTTTGTATATATATATATATATATATATATATATATATATATATATATATATATATATATATATATATATATATATATATATATATATATATATATATATAAGTACTTATTTAAGTATTATATTAAGTACTTATCTCATGGCCGTAGATAGGGGGAGGGGAGGTATTAGGGGCAATGCTCTATCTTAATCACTTAATTATGACTTCTGCCCTACCA